GGGGGGTTGTACAAGGAGGAGACAGTGAGGTGGGAGGGATAGGATAAAGACAAGTGAGTAGGGGGTGGTGGCGGTGGGGCGAGCTGTTCATTTTTGGAACGTTGCTCCAGTTCCACTCGGGAATGATGGAAATATTCCGCATAGCCAAACCCGGAGTGGAAGGTGTATGGTAATAATGTCGAGGAAGGAATGCCAAATATGTGCGTGAGAACGGAGCTGTGACCTGAGAGCTGCAGGAATTATGGGCCAAAATCCCACAGACCCAGAGGAAGCACACACACCCATATCCAACACATACACACATCATATATTAATGGTGCTCCACCAAGCACAAATCCATCCCACATAACTTATTCCCAGAATTTGAAACATTCTACTATACTGAACTAAACCCAGAAATGAAGAAAACCAACCCCCTCAGCAGGCCACCTCCCCTCCTCTTCCTCCTAGAGAAAACACACTGCACAATAACAAATGTATTATAGATCTCAACTACACTACCCAGAGCTTTGCTAGAAGTCCTCCACTGTAAGCTTTTTAAAGTATACATCCCTCCTTCACAGTTAGGGTTTACAACAGTGGGCATGTGATCTGCTGTAACAGGTTGTTTAGACTCCAAACCTTGCTACCCAACAGTCAGAGGCACAGACTCATAAACAGATTGGCCTGTAGGAGAAAGCTGAGTTTATACCCCCACCTGGTGGCTGCATTCAATACTTGAACAGTAGCAACAGGGAATACAACCTCACCAGCATGCATTCCTTTCTTTAAAAAGAAAGAGAAAAAAAATCCGTCTCTCTCATAGTTGACCATTGAGGCCAAGATGCAAACTGGCTTCCGTTAAATTCAAACTCTCAGGCACTGGCACTCATTTTCTGAACGTCTTCATTAATCGGAGACTGAAATTGAGGATCACTAGCAGGGAGAATTGATAATTTCCCCATGGATTTTATGTTAAACATTTTTGTACTCAAATTTTGTGCAGTACCTAATGTACATGTTCAGGACGAGGTGTGCTCTTATAATGCGTGCCATCCTTTTTAATTTTTAAAATAACAGGAAAAAACCCCAAAAAAACCACCATTTCTATTTAGAAAACGCAATAGGGTAAAAGATAAGTACCTGTCAAAGGGCTATGTTCCATGTTGACAGACAGCATTTACATGCAGCATTCTTTCAGATTTGCGTGTACTCCAAACAATGTGTGTCTGCAAGCAATCTGATAGAATACATTAAGTGTCATTGTGTGTAAGGGTATTTTCGGTCCAACGGTTTTCTTGTAGGTAACAACAGCTACTTCCTTCCCATCTAGCCTGTTTACAATATACTTCAGATAAAGGCCTAATAAACTTTCAGTCAGATGGAGAGGCAGTGCAACACACACATACACCACACGTACCATCCACACAGACGAGAACAGATAGACAACTAGACACTCATTCATGTTACAGTTGGCTCAACACTCCACCACTGTCAAGTACTTTATTCACAATAAGGTCATTTTCTTCTTTAAAAAATCATTTTTAATATACAACACAATTTTTGACAAGACAACTCCGTTTACAGCTAAATTTGAGCTCTTGAATTCCAGCTTCTCTCATAACCAAAGCAAGCACGATGATGATGATGTAAGGAGAGAAAGATGGTGTGAAAGGGACAGATGGACAAGAGGTCAAGATTAGAAGAAAGGATGAGGAAGAAGACAGAGAAAGAGCAAGAGGGTGGGAAGAAAGGACTACGCTTAGTATGATTTTTTTTGTACTAAGAACCAAAAATACTCAAATAAAATTAGAAAATAACAGTAATAAAAAAACGAAGAGTTTAAGAAAAAAAAAAAAAAAAAAAGAGCAGAGGTGTACCAGGATGCTGTATCCAAGGCACCCTCACATGCATGTCTGTGACGCTTCTGCTCCGTTCTGCCATTTCACAAGTCCACATACACACACACACTCTTGCAAACTTTGAGTGTGTATGTGCGCGCACCCCCATATTCCAAACGAGTGTGCATCTCTGGAGGTTGGGGAGAGGGAGCGTAGGAAGGGTGGGGTGGGTGGAGAGAAAGAGAGAGACAGGGAGACATAGGAGAAAGTGAAAGGGAGGAAGGGATGCAATCCCAAACACTTCTCCCTCCCTCCTTCACTCCCTCCAGCTCCCATCCTTCCCTTCTTTCCTAGAGCTGAGTAAAGAGTCTCTGTCTCCCGCATCACAGCTCCGGTCATCCTCTGTCCAACTGTGCCACTGTGCGTGTACATATGTGTGTCTGTGTGTGTGCGCGCGTGTGTGTCTATGTAATATATATTTATAAATATATATCTATAAGCGATTCCATATCAGTGGAAACCAGTTTTGGCTGGGACTGAAAACTGAGGAGAAGCAGCTGCTTTAAGTTTGTATCAAGGGGAAAAAAAAAAAAAAAGGGGGGGGGAGCTTGTGACTTATATAGGGTCTAAGTTAATACTGTCATTAGTGTACTTTACAAAACATAAATTAGTAGTAGAAGGTGAGCTTCTTGGGAGCGCTGCATTGGTTTTGTAGTAGGGAATCCTCATCAGTGTTGACCTGTGTGTGTGTGTATATATGTCGCTTTACTGGGCAGGCAATGGGCACAAGCTTAGAGTCTGTCAGAACTGGCAGAGAGGAGGAGGTGGTGGGGTCTGAGTGGGAGATGGACAGAGAGATGACAAGGAGGAACGAGAAGAGATGGGCTCCTTTCCATGACGGATGCACCGATCAACCAATCAGCCCTGGGTTCCTCCAAGAAAGGGTACGGTTGATGGTGACACCTGGGAGAGAAAGCCAGAGTGTCACACAGGTGGGTCTGCACCACAAGGGTAAACACAGAATGCTGGATTTTTATAGAAAGGTTTTACAGTGCCAGGTGTCTCTAGGTACCTGCTATCTAGAAATATACGTGTAGGTACGCGAAGGAGACCGTCCCTCTGACTGGCCGTTGGTTGAGACGTTCAGGAAGTCCCATATCAGAATGGTGTCGTCGTGAGAACTGCTGATGATCTGAAACTCATCAAACTGCAGACGGAACACGCGACCAGAGTGCTCCTGAAAACACAACAAATTAGGAAATAATTTTTACATAATTAGCACACAGAGCTAGATTATTAAAAGAACTACTGTTCTCCATAAATTAAAGAGGCCCGACTAGAAGTTCAAGCAATGGGTTTTCCACCAGAGTCACACAGTTAATTTGTAATGAATCATCCATGCCCAGTGCCCCCCCACACACACACACACACACACACTCACACAAGAGCAATAAGATTTAGTGGAGAGTATTTTCAAGAGCATTCATAATGTTTTTTGTTTGTTTTAGGTGAATGTACAAACTAATATCTGGATGGTGACTACGTTGAATATCAACAAATACGCACATTAAATGTAGTGACATTTACTGGTAGTTAAAATTATCAAAATTAAAATTTCCTTGTATTTTTAGTATGAAAAAGGCAAACATCTACATCTTCCCCTCCCCCAGAGGTGCTGCACTCACATCATTAGTCAGACACTTGGGGATGCTAAATCGCTGTTACTCACCACTAGAGTGCGCAGACATAATGTGCTGGCTGGGGCTCGTGGGTCCAGGGCTGCCTGCAGGTCCCATACCTTAATTTTGCTGCACGGCACATCAAAATGTCACAAAACAAACCCAAAACAAAAGTCTGTGAACAAAACGGTGTATTTACATGACTTACCCGTCGTAGGCGCCACTGACAATCCTTTTGTTGTCAAAGCGAATGCAGCGCACCAACTCCTCGTGACCTTCCAACACTCGTAAGCATGCCCCGCACTCTATGTCCCATAACCTGCAGAAAGAGAAGCCTTTGTAAACAAACACCAAGATCCAGACCCTGCAGTTTTTAGACAGCAATCATTCCAAACACTGACAAGTCAAACTGGGACTTTTAAACTTTCAGCTCACTTGTTGAGAGAAAAAGAAATTGCAAATGCTTGTAAATAAAAAGTGTTCATGTTAAATTCAGCTAAAATATTACAACCTTTGAAACTGACAGACTTCAAACGGACAACTAACAGTTGTGCATAACTCCTTATGTTTTATTCAGTCACGAAGCCACAATCTAGTTGCCAAATAAAGTGACTGCTAAGACCAAAGACTCAATATTTATCCATTTGCCCTAACGCGTTTGCTGATTATGTATTATGCTGATGCAATCACAATTCCTTTCGCTGTGCCTTCACATAAAAATCTCACCTGTGAAAACTGCAAGTTAAGAAATAGAAATGCAACACATTATTGACATTGAGCTTTGGAACCAAATTCTACTGTACATCAAAAATCCATCAAAATAACAGAACAAAGCTTCAAAGATTTTTCAAATGCAATCAGTTTGTAGTACTGCAGGGATTCAAATAAGACAGCGACTAGGACTGAGCTGTTAGGTGACAGATTGCAGGTAAGAGTCAGGTGATTGGGGGCACATCTCCAAGAGGTACCTAAAATTTCCACTTACGTACACCACAAAAATAATAATGCTGATGGCTGCTCACAGAATGACGCCACACCTAAGTATTTAACAAATATGTCTGTTGCCAAAACTGAGCATAAACAAGCCAACTCTGGGATCTTCATTACACTGGCTGCCCTCTACACTCATGCTGTCATTAGATGGTGAATACAAATAAAAGAAGATGTAAACATAACTGAACAAACATATCAGACATTCTTTTTTGCATACTCAATCATAAACTCAGCTACTGTAATCTTGCCCCATCAGGAGACTGAACATGTTAGCCAGACATTTCATTTATTTAAGAGGCGTTTAACAGTGAAACATTGACAGGTATTCTACATAATCCCAAATTACTTTGCTTCTTTGCTTGCCTGTATTACTTAGCATGACTTTATCTGCTAACAAAGGCCATGGTTTTAACTGACTACCGGATTTTAAATTTGACATATGTTTGCTAGTTTAGCCATGAATTTCACACACACATACCGAATTGTGTTGTCAGATGAGCCACTAACCACCAAACGATCTCTGTATTGTAGACAGGCAATTCCCCGCTTGTGACCATTTAGAGTACGAACAAACTCACAGGTGCTGGTGCTCCATACCTACACAGGGGGACAACACAAAGTTTACAACATTTAAGGAAAATTTTAGTCAGAGGGTTTTTAATCATGTACATCTGTTCTACTGATAAATAAAACTAAAACTCTGACATCAAATTAATCCAAATTTTATCAGATGGATAATATTTCTGTAAAAGAAAAAAGAAAAATGAAATGATTTGTAAAGGAACATTTCTCTAACTGTCGTCACCTTAATAGTGCGGTCCCCTGAGGCAGACACAATGTATTTGTCGTCAAAGTCAACCACATTGACGGCAGCCCGATGTCCCACCAGGACGCGGCGTAGACTGATGTCAGTAGGCGAGGCCATATCCCAGACTGCAATTGAACGGTCCTTGGAGCAGGTGACCATCAACCCATTTGCAAAACGAAGATGAAGAACTGCCTCATTGTGGTGGATCAGTGTGTTCAGCACCTCACCCGTCGTTACCTCCCACACCCTGTAGAGTGGAGGGAGACGTCAGCAGGGTCGAATGTTAAAGGCAAAGGTGACAGAAAGAGGAAGAAAACAGAACATGGCAAGAAGGAAAAACAGACATGTCAAGGGACGGGGTGTAAAAACAAAGAAAGAAGAAATGACACAGTGGAAAATGATTGAAGGAAAGAAAAATGAGATGGGGGCAACAGGAAGAGAGGTCAAAAAGGAGATGGAGAGGACATGGAAGAAAAACAAAGGAAAATGAAAAACAATAGAGACACACGAGATTTTAGTTTTTTTTCTAGATTTGTAATAGAGAGTATCTCACACTTCAGACATGTACATACAGTGAGCTGTACTAAGGCGCCAAGAGTCAAACGCACAACACTCTGGAAAAGCTGACAACCAATCCCACAAACAAAGTGCCTGTCAAACTGTTGCTAAGGAAGTGAAGTCACATTTTCCTTGGATACTGCCCAGTGAGTACGCCTGAAGTGTGAAGTAATAAGAGAAATAATGTTGAGCTTCTGTGTGCAGTAGCCAAACAAGTGTCAACCTATACACAACAAGCCAAGACGTTCAATATCTGCAATGAAATGCATCCAACTATCTCCAATAAAAACAGTAAAACTAATTTATTTTGATAGGATATATGCTAAAGTTTTTATATTCAATTTCTTAGATGCACAACACCAGCTGTAGTCATGACTGGCTGTGAAACAAGCATACATTAGGATTCCTCAATACATGCAGAAAGTATTTTGAGCATTCTAAGCTTTTACAAGACGGATGGGATGCTGTCAGAAAAGCACATTTACCAAACATATTACTAAATGATGTCAAATTAACATAAAAAAAGAAAAAATACATAAATAAGACTACTAAAAATCTCCAGGAGCTCTCATTTTCTCTTGCAGTCCAAAGACATGCAAGTTATGTTAGCTGGGAATATTAACCTGGCTGTAAGTGTGGACATGAGACAAGGATTTCAAGCTCATAGCATAAACTGCTGCTGTGTAGATGGGAGAACAGTGTAAAGGATTCTGAGTGGTTGCTTTTTCTTTCTAATCCAATTGGAGCTCTTTGCTGGAAAAAAGTCCAGGTTCTAGGTCATGTTCTTACACTGAATTTTATGTTTTACTTTGGATGCATCAGTAACCACCATGAAACAGTTTCACCCTATTAACAGCAAAGACCTGGAGGACATCTTAGGTCAACTGAACTCCTCCTCTTGCTGTTTAGATGTCCTGCCAACAAGTTTTTTCAAAAAGGTCTCAAAGACTTTGGAGTCAGACCTGTTACAGATCGTCAACTTTTCTTTAATATCAGGGTGTTTCCAGAATCCACTAAAAACTGCTGTAATAAAACCTATACTGAAAAAGGACAATCTTGACAAGACACAAATGAACAACTACAGGCCGATCTCAAATCTCCCATTTTTAAGTAAGATCATTGAAAAAGCAGTTTCTCAACAGCTCAATTACTTCTTAAAACAGAATAACTGCTACGATGCCTTCCAGTCAGGTTTTAGACAGAATCCACAGCACTGAAACCGCTCTGACCAAAGTGTTCAATGACATATGTCTGAATACAGACAGTGGAAAAATGTCAGTCTTAGTTTTACTGGATCTCAGTGCAGCATTTGATACAGTTGACCACAACATATTACTCAAACGACTGGAGAACTGGGCAGGTCTTTCAGGAACTGTACTAAACTGGTTCAAAACATACTTAGAAAACAGGAAATACTTTGTATCAATAGGTAACTTCACATCTGAGCAGACAAGTATCACATGTGGAGTTCCCCAAGGTTCCATCTTGGGACCCCTTCTGTTTAACATTCTACATGCTCCCACTGGCACAGATTATAAAGAACAACAAAATAAACTACCACAGCTATGCAGATGACACACAAATATATATCACAATGTCACCAGGAGACCGAGGCCCTGTACAGGCTCTTGGTAAATGCATTGAGGAAATTAATGACTGGTTGTGCCACAATTTTCTCCAGCTAAACAAAAACAAAACTGAGGTAATAGTCTTTGGCGCCAAAGAAAAACGATTACAGGTCACCAGAGAACTTCAATCTATACATCTAAAAACCACAAACCAGGCGAGAAATTTGGGTGTAGTGATGGATGCAGACCTAAACTTAGAAAAACACATTAAGACAATAACAAAGTCAGCTTACTATCACCTCAAGAATATTTCAAGGATAAAAGATCTGATGTCTCAACAGGACCTGGAAAAACTAGTCCATGCATTCATCTTTAGTAGGCTTGATTACTGTAACAGCATCTTTACAGGTCTACCTAAAAAATCAGTCAGACAACTACAGCTCATTCAGAACTCTGCTGCTCGAGTCCTCACTAAGACCAAAAAAGTGGACCACATCAGTCCAGCTCTGAGGTCTTTACACTGGCTGCCTGTCCGTCAGAGGATAGACTTTAAAGTTCTGATGCTGGTCTATAAAGCTCTGAATGGTTTAGGACCAAAATACATCAGTGACCTCCTGACCCAGTATGAACCTTCCAGATCCCTCAGGTCATCTGGATCCGGTCTTTTATCAGTTCCCAGAGTCAGAACCAGACACGGAGAAGCTGCATTCAGCTTTTATGCTCCTTATATCTGGAACAAACTCCCAGAAAGCCTCAGATCAGCTGAAACACTCAGTTTATTTAAATCCAGGTTGAAGACTCACCTTTCTCAGCTGCATTTGAATAAAGCACCAAATCCACACTTTTAAGCTTAAATTTCAAAACTTACATTTAACTACTGATTTTATCTATTGTTCTGATTTTATATACTGTTTTGTTTGTTGTTGTTTGTTTGCTTGTTTTAATCAATTTTAAATCATGCTTTTTATTTGTTTTGTTTCTAATGTTCTGTAAAGCACTTTGAATCACCTTGTTGTTGAATTGTGCTATACAAATAAACTTGCCTTGCCTACCAATCTGAGAGATCTAAAAGAAAATGCAGCCCAAAAAAACAAAAAACAAAAAAAAAAAAAAAACCAAAACCCTGTACCACATAGGATCTATCGCACATGTGTCAAAGTCAAGGCCCACGGGCCACATCCGGCCCGGCGTACATTTATATCCGGCCCGCGAGATCATTTTATATAGATGTACTATGTATTGTTATGCATGGCCCGGCGATATGAGGCGCTAATAATATACAAACTACAGATCCCATAATGCAGCGCTGCAGCCTCCTTGCTGAATGCTAGGCTAACTGGGAACATTCCCGCGTCAATCAAGTCAAACTTCTGTTATTGCGAAGCTAGCCGCTCACAATGGTGGAGAGAAAAGTTGATTCTGAAAGCAGAGCCTTTCAGCGCCAGTGGGTGACTGAATATATGTTTACAGACATTGCTGGTAAACCCATGTGTCTTATTAGTGGAACTAATGTGGCTGTAATTAAGGAATTTAATTTAAGACTGCACTACGAGACAAAACGTCAGGATAAGCTGAAAAACCTAAATGCAAAAACTACAGAAAGTAGAAGAGCTAAAGAAGAATCTGACATTTCAGCAGACGTTTTTCACCAGAGCAAAATAGCAAAGTGAAGCTGTTGTGAAATCAAGTTTTATTGTAGCAGAGGAGCCAAATCAGCCCGGTACCACTCTGAAGAGCTGCATGATGAAGGTGTGCGACGTCTTGTGTCCAGACAAAAACGCAGATTTTGGCAAATGTGAGCCTGAGGAGAAATACGATTGCTGATCGGGTTTGTGAGATGGCCATTGATTTAAGAACACAGTTGTGTGAAAGAAGCAAAAACTTCATTGCATACTCTCTTGCTATGGATGAAAGTATAGACATGCATTGCACAGCTGACCATCTTCATCCATGGAGAGGAAATATTGAACATTAAATCGATGCACGGGACAACGACAGGAAAAGTCTTTTTTTTTTTTTTTTATAAACATATGTCAAAGTGTAACCGACATGAAACTGCCCTGGGACAAACTTGTTGGACTTACAACAGATGGAGCGCCGGTGTTGTGCGGTGAAAAAAAGCGGACTAGTCGGCAGGATGCGAGTAAAGATGCAAGAGGAGAAATGTACCGGTGAGTTAACAGCATATCACTGCATCATACACCAGGAAACGTTGTGTGGTAAAGTCCTAAAAATGGAGCATGTAATGATCACCGTAACACAATCGTGGGATGTGTGGGAAATAGATTCAGAGTTTGCCGACATTCCTTATCATACAGAGGTCCGTTGGCTGAGTTGAGGAAAAGTTCTCAATAGAGTTTTTGAGCTCAGCAAGGAAATCTGTCAGTTCATGGACATGGCATGTATGATGCAGTGAAGGCATTTCAAGTGAAGCTGTCACAAATGCACTAGTGCAACCTGCCTCACTTTCCCTGTTGCAAAGTAATGTTGAACCAAGTCAGCGCACTTTGCTGAACTGCATCTGTGCAGATTCAGATGGAGCTGCAGTGTAATGATACACTCAAGGCAAAGTACGACAATGAATGGCCCGCACAGTTTATTAGTTCCATTCCTGAAGCAATGTCCCAGCTCAGTCTACATGCGGCTCCAACCTTGTGTATGCTTTCATTTATTTTTTTCTGGGGTTTCTGGCAGCATGTTCATATTTCTAACTTGCATAATTTTGACAGGATATATTTTTATGAAGAGGAAAATATTTAAAGTTAAAGTTCATTTTTTTAAGTTTATTTAATCTGGAATAATATTCTTGTCTGTTTTTATTCATATTTATTTTTAAAAAACATTGTTTTAGTGTGTTCAATAAATCTTTATCTTGTTTGGCCAGCAACCTAAAGTGTGCCTTGAGTTTTGGCCCCCTGTGCAATTGAGTTTGACAGCCCTGTCCTATGGCTTTAAACCAACTTCCAATTATCTACATAGATATCCATGCCATGGGATTGTAAAAAAAGAAAAAAAAAGAAAAAAAAGAGGTTATTTTCAGATATTTGCCTGCCTTTTGAGACCGTTTTTAAAATGTTAAAGTTATGAGTGTTGAAACTGAAACTGTAGCACAAGCAGAAGTAAATATAGAGATACGATGTATTCATACCGAGTGGTATCCTCTGCTTTATTCAGACTTCCACAACTTTCTCTTCAGTAACTTGAACCATTTGTTCAGCTTGCTGACATAGCTTTGACCTACTCCAAAAAACACCCTGTGTTATTTATTTCTGGAAAAAGATGCGCTGTACCTGACAGTTGAGTCAGAAGACCCGGTCACAATGACTCTCTCATCATACTGGAGACACAATACTGAGCCTGTGTGACCGGTCAGTATCTTCAGACACTCCAGAGTCTGTTTATCCCAGATCTAAAAGGAGCACAAAAAAAAAAACAAAACAAAAAAAAAAAAAAAAAAAGAAGATATGAGTGAAGCACAGGAAGATTTAGACAAAGAAAGAATTTTTTTTTTTTTTTTTAAAGAATGCAGATTTGGGTCATGCTAAGAATGGCCCAGTCTCACAGCAGCATTCATGCCCCATTTCCCTACTGCTGCACTGATGTGCATAAGAGCCATTCAGCTGTTCCCTTGCTGTGCGTCAGCCTCCTACATAACAATAAGATGACAAATCTGCTCTTCTCCTCCCCTATCCACCCCTTCTCTTCATCCTCATCTTCTTGCAGGCCCCTCACAGGCAGACAGATAAGTGGAACACACAGCATGCCTGGAGTTGAGACTTTCTTTCCTATAATTCACTTGTTCTCTGTCTCACTCTGCTGGTCCAGACCAACACCACACACAGTAAGATGGTAAGCCATAAAGAGAAAAAACACAAGAATAATGTGTTTTATTTATAACCAAGTCTCGGTTACCTTGATGGAATTGTCCCTAAGGCCACTGATGATCTTGTCGTCATCGTACTGGAGACAGTAAACCCCTTTACTGTTTTCTGAGCGACACTGAATCCTCTGCAAGTTGTGTCTGCCACATCGCCAATTAGCCTCAATAGTCTAGATGGAAAGAGAAACAAAGAGGTCTGTAACAGATGCAACATCTACCACGCTACAAAATGGTTTCAGCATTATTGTGATGATAATTTAACACGAAAACAATAAATCATCTTTTCATTTATTACTCATAATCAAGAAGTATTTGTACAAGTGTAGCAAAATGTGAACGTGAAAATAAAACTTTAGACATTAATCATTCGAGAGGATAATTACATTCACATTGCTCTTTGCTGAATCCAAAATAATAATCCATGTAAAGCTCAGTAACTAATTGTTATTTTCAAACTTATACAGTTATGCCTATAAATGGTTTGCTTACTTAAGTCATTTTTTTTAAAATCATGATGACAAATAATATCTGGTGCAATAATACAAACTGATTAAAAAAAAAATAAAAAAAAAATAAAAATCGAAAGTCATAAAAATAATGAGAATGTAATCACGTTAGGCGTTATGACTTACCTCTATATCTTGAATGATCTTGGGATAGAGGGAGTGATAGTAGGAGTTGGGTGGGATTTCTGAGGTGCGGTTCTTGAACAGATATTTCTCCCTGGGGGGGAAGAGAGAGAGAGAGAGAGAGAGAGAATGACACTCTCCTTTGTGCACTGGGAATTTCTGCATGTGAAGCAGACACTAAAGCCCAACCAAGGATAACCTTTCCACTTTATCCTCAGGCTTTCCTGTATGTAAAATTAACCTTTTATATATTTTTTTACCCATATTTTAAAACAGATTTCTTTCAATACACATTACAATATCATTTTCTTATTAACCTGCATCTGGGAGTGCCTGCATTCGGTCTTACCACTGGTGTCTCTCGGACAGGCCTTTCCAAAGCGGATCAGTTCGGACCATGCGTTCAATGAGCTTCTTCCACAGCATACCCTCAGAGATGACCCTCTGCCACTCCTTACATACCAGCTCTGCTGCACACAGCGAGCGTGCATCCAGGAAAGACAGGATGTTCTCCGCTATGTGATCCAAGCCTTGGGCTAGACAGAGGGGGAAAAGAGGTGACCAAGTGCAAGCAGTGACATTACCTCACCTCGTTAGTTTATCTGTCCCCAGAGCTCATTTATTCTGAATTGTTCAAAGACAATCAATAAAGCAAGTTGCGTTTATTCCTTTAAAATGCTTCTAAAAGGTTAAAAAGGGTTTTATGTTTCTGTTTACCTTTTAAAATAAAAAAAATAAAATTTATACACAGTTGGGTGGTCAAAGACTTTTTGACCACCCAACTTTGTTGAGCTACGATGCCGTTAGGGAAGATGCACGTCATGCAAAACCTGTGGGTAACAAACATCCACTAATCTCTGTTGGTACCTGGCAGCGCAGTAATGAAATCCCTCTGCAGCATTGGTTTGAGGTAGGAATTGATGTGGCCGTGCTGGTAGTGGCACATACGGGAAATCAGGCGCTCAACAAACTCCACCTGCTCGGCCTCCGACCACTGGTCAAACAGGGCGATGCAATGCTCCTTCTCCTTCTCATAGTTCCCCTCTGACGGGCGTTTACGAGATCCCACAACAGGACCGTTACTAAGCTGTAAATATCAGGAGCACATGAAGATTAAATGTCTAGTTGTGTTAGACTGAGAAGATGTTGATAAATAGTCACATAATGCAAATCCAGTCAGTTAAATCTTTCAGGCTCCCGCTGTGACACAGGAAATCATTTCAACTGTATACCAAACTTTGAGCAGCAGCTCATTTTTGTATGAAGAGAAAATGCTGACTGGGAGTGTCACCTGTGGATTGGTGAACTTACTTGAAGTTCTTCAGTGCATAGTTTCCCAGCTAACACCATGGCATTAAAAACAATTTGAACTCAAATGCAGTTTTTTCCAGTAATGCAATCTAATGTTACTAAATGATTTTATTTTTCCCGTCTAGAAAGCTTTCTAAATAAAAATAAATACATTGAGGCAAAAAAGGTGGGGGAGACACCGAAGCTCAAAGTTGCTGTGCTTATTGAAGCCCATGTATAGGCGTGAATGAAGGGGATTAATGCTGCCCAAAGTTCAAAATAAATTTTTACTGCCACGCAATAAAGCTCCAGACACACAGAGAGAAAGAGAGAGAGACTGATTAGTGGGGTTTTCATTTGAACTGCAGCAGGAGACAACAAAACCTTTCATGTAAATATCAAAGGTTACTGTATTTTAAGAATCCAAAAAGGTCCAAATCGTAATAGTTTTAAAGTCAGCTGAAGCTTTAACAAAAGTTAGAACAATTCTTAAATAATAAACCATACCAATGTTGTATGTACATTTGAAATAGTGTAATAAAGCACACCTTGAGAACTGTATTCTTCTTTGGCGACAGATCGTCCACAAGGTTCTGTGACTCCATCCCTGATGTGTTCTGTGGATAAAGAACAAAACAAAGACGTGCCCCAGGTTAGTGTTTCATTCTCACTCAGTCTGTGTTTAAAGGCACTTTCAGAGCTGGGGCAGCAGTGTGGATAGCGTTTGGCGCAAGAATGCAACAAACACAGCCAAGGAGGGGGTAACCATCAAGTTTCTGAGACGTGCACGCACAAACAGCCTTGCACACGCACACGCACACACACACACACACACACACACGCACGCACACACGCACACACACGCACGCACACACACACACACACGAAATAAAAGAAAATAAGAAAAGAGAAAAAGTGCTGCAACAAAGAATCTATCCTCTTGCTTGTCTGTAATGTGGGTCAAATAGTCTGGACAGGAAATTAAAAGGCAAAATCTTGGGTATGTCACTGGCACTCAGCTCAGGTATAACTGTAATAAAAGAGATATTGGTCTTTGAGAAACAAATGATAGAAAGAAAATAAGATTAAGCCATTTCTAGCATCCTTTGTAAATTGACTGCAAACATGCTATAGAAACTTTAATACTAACATTGTTATCCACAGCTCATGTACTGACATGTTCTGTACATTCAACTAAAACTATTAGACTCCTTAGAGTATGTATATTTGTTTGGAAGCCAAAGGCAGACAGCAATTGTTATTCCTAATTAGACCCATCCAGCAAAAATCACAGACCAACTGTACTCTTGGGGGCTCCTGGTTTATCATTTAGAGTTGTTAAAAATACAAACTGCTGATGTTACGAGGCTTGTTTCTAGTCTGTAAGATTAACAGTTTAAAAAAAAAAAAAAAAAAAAAAAAAAAAAAAAAGAATATTCCTGAGCTAACAGGCCTTCAAAACAAACTGTACACTCAGCAAAAATAAAAAAGCAAAAACCATCTAAATCATATCTACATTTGAAACACACCAATTCACCGATGTAATTTATAAGTTTACTGCTATACTTCTTAATGTATAAGAAGTATAGCAGTATACTATACTATACAAAGGAACCTGGGGAACCTTTGTATCCCCAGGTTCCCAAACAGGAAGAGGTTTACCTCAGAGAGGGTCAGAGCTATTGTATACATGTGTGGGTGATGAATGACCCATAGGTATCATCTGAAAACAGTAATGTCAGGGGGGTAAAACAAATCTACAGTGTGTACCTGTTGGTCCATACATTATAAAAGCCCATCTGTTAAAGCTTTTTTCAGGAGCTGAAAAGTTTTCTTTGCAGTATAAACAAGCTCTATCCTGAAAGCTGCTTGCACGGTCATGTAGACACTGTTGTTTATTTTACTTTTTTTATACTTCAAGTGTGAGCTGTTGCAAGTTTGCTCAGTGCAGATAACCATCTTTTGGTGATGCTGCTACAGGAAGAGCTTGAGCAAAATCAACAGAACTGAGTGGCTGCAATCAGTACAACCACACAAACAAAAAGATCCAAATACCAAGACTTTGTACTTGGATTTTTTTTTCAAGTTCCAAGTCAAATGGGATAAGAAGCCATAATGGTCTTCTCAATTACCAAAGCAGACAGGATAAGAAGCGATGGTGGTCTTACTAGTGTTAATGATCATGCATAGAAGAAAAGAAAAAGCAAAAAGAAATAAAATTCACACACACAAAAAAAGACATCAGGTTCAGCTAGGCAGGCAAGCAAGCAAACATGTAGCCTCTCAGAGCTTGAAGGAGGACCCCCACCTCGTCCCTCACACCTCCAGGTAGAAAGAGAGAAAACAATACTCCTCAGTGCATGGTTATTCTCTGGTACCCTTGCATCCCTTCTCTTACCATACCAAAGTACTCAGGAAATAGTTTACTATTCAAACTTGGCATATCCAGATTATTTAATTTTTTTGGTTAAACAAGACAAAGCACTGGCAACTTTATCGTTTTCACTGTTCTGTTTCAAAAGATCTGAAAGTAGTATGTTATACTTTGTATAAATAAAATTACTTTTAAGCAGAGTGTTTGAGGAGGCACCAAAGAAGAACCCAAGAGCAGAGTGCTTCGAACAGGGAGGACAGGACAACGGAAGGTGAGGAGGTAGGAGGGTGAGGGGGTGAGTGGGTGCTGTGTGCACCAAAGTGGTATGAGGAGTTGTGTGGGGTGGGCAAAGAAAAAGTAAAGGGTGAGGAGATGGCAAGGGAGGAGGGGAAAGGAGGAGGAGCAGCAGAATTAAGAGGAGAGAGGCAGAACCTGGTTGTGAGCCCGGGTGGAGGGGATGCTCTGCAGGCACCTGAGTGCACACAAACTCTCAGCCACCGAGGAGCAGCCCAGCCAGAGAGAGCGAGGCACAGAGCACTGTGTGAAAGAGAGAGAGGAAGGGAGGAGGAGAACGAAGTGGACAGGGTGAGGGAGGAAGAGAAAGGGAAGAGCAAGAGAGACGTGGGAAGTAAAGGGGGGGGGGGGGGGGGGGGGAGGGAAGTTGGGAGGTGGAAACCAAAAAGGGTGAGTGAATAGATGGATCAATGAATGGATAGATGGATGGAAGTTGTGGGGAGTGAGAAGCAGGACAAGTGAAGTGTAAATGTGTGTAACGGGACAAAAAGAATGGATAAATAAATACGGTTTGGTTTGAAATTGAGAGGACGTGAGCGTGTAACCATCAAAGGTGGAGAGAGAGGAGGAAGAGAGGTGGGGGATAGTGAGGGGGAAAAACCAGTATTAGAGCTACACACATTGGCACGGTGAGCGCAGGAACACACACCCCGTCACACACAGATACAGACTGATAAACATACACACGGAAGCATTATTAGACATGAACTGGGTGGGGATAGGTAGAGGAGAGGGAGGGGCAATGGTATTAATCGTCAATTAATGTCACTCTCGCTTTGACATGAGCCCCACCCACTGTTCTGCCATCCCCACTCTCATGAGAGGTTAGTGAATAACACTGGGACAAATAAATAAATTAAATTAAACACATGAACACAACCCAGACAAAATTCTCAATTTTCTGTGTAGGTAAACAATTTATGCTCCACTTTGTCTTATTCTTTAGTGTAATTTAATGACTTTAGTCACATGTTAAGCTTTTTTTTTTCCTTGGTCAAGAAAATTATGACCAAGCGTTGAATTGAAAACCATGGGCTGAATAGATGATAAATAGCTTTTATCACTAGACACATATTCTAAGGCTGTTCAAGCACTTAACTTCAGTTTTACCATTTACTTCAACTAAAAGGCCAAATTACTACTCAAATCATACAAAAAGGTCACTTTATCTACCCACATTGCAATTTAAACCTCCAATTTTTCCTGATAAACTTTTAAGCCCCTTTGTGATGTATGGTGAGATTACCAATTTAAGACAACTCGCTCTTAATTACTGAGGAATCATTTAGGTCATTCATAGATGTTGTACCAAAAAGTGATTATTTGTCAAAGGAAAAAAAAAATATTGCGGATTCTCAAACTGTTGTGAATGGCGTGTTAAAATATAGTTTATCATTCATGAAATATTTTTGACATCAATTTTGTGATTTTTATCCCTCCTTTAAAAAGTCTAATTGAGATTAACAGCATGTTTTAAGACATCTGGATAAGAAAGCAACAGATATTACAACAAACAACATACCAGCTCTAGAAATGTTTTAAGTGGAAAAAAAAGAACTGGCTTGACTATATTTAGAAAGAAGAGTAGGTACAATACTGTACAGTTATATACTTACAATACACATAATTTCTTTATTTTATAATAGCCCCTTCGTAAATCTTATTGATTACATCACATTTAGCAAGTATATTAGACATAAAAACGAATGCAAACATCTGGGGAATCACTATTTGGCAGACAGCGGCTATAGACACCTGTAATGCTTAAGCAAATGACTCTTTAGTACAAGTACATATTAGGTGCTCTTTTACGAAACTTTTTTTTCCAATTTAACAGGACTACATCTTATTATCTACTAAGGAATATACGACATTATTTACTAGGCCCGGCTTTCAACCTTTAATTTGTACAGTACCACTGTATTTCTTGCACAAACCGATAGATCTTCCAAACACGTGTAAACTGAAATTCTTTTAAAGGTCAGTTTCGCTGACATAACAAATCGGATCCTCGTATTAATTGACGTCTTCCTTACGACCACTTTGACCCCACAGAGTAAATGTTAGCGGCTGGTAGGCTACAGTTAGCCTAGCTGGCTAGTTTATCGAGGCAGAAAATCAATATACAATAAACCCAATAGTTTTTGGCAAAATTTAATTGACTAAAAATGAAAATAATACCGTCGTCTTAATTTATGTTTGTGGCTACAAAAATAGTTTTTCTAGACATAGTCAGCAGTTTGTTTTTAAATGTAGAAGTTGGTGTCAAGCAGCGTATTTAGCAAGCTTGCTATTAAGCTAATTGCTAATGCTCGCTAGTGGAGGTAACGCTGTGTGAATGAAAAAGCAATACACTTCCTTCTACGCACTTTAAAAAAATATAAACACACAAGCAACGCATTGTTATGATTTTATCCATGTTCACATAAAGTATAAAAATGTGACTGACACATCATTTACCGAGTAAGTCGTCTTACCCTAAAACTACATGATATAACATCGCGTTGCCCGTAAATTTACGTACTTCACGACATTCTAGTCAGTGTTAGCATGGCGGCTAGCTAAGAATCAGGCAGGGCCCAGTTAAAGTGGCGCAGCGTCACCGCAGTAAACGCTACCCCAAGAATTCTCGTCTGCCTTCGACCGACGATTGCATATCAACCTCTTAATTTTTCCCATTATGTACAAACTGTACCCAAACCAACACAGGTTTTAAATTTATCAGAGAGAGATGTCTAAGACTTGTTAATCAATCCAACCAGTATGCGGAGCATTCGTAGCAAAATGTATCGATAATTTCAGGCCCTCCCTCTGATTTCTGGTTCCCCCTCCTTTTTCCTCCACCTCTCCCGACAAGTCGCTTCAGCCCGTTCCTGGCGTCGAATCGAGCCTCGGCGATTTCCTCAATAAAACACTGACAGCGATCAATTCGGTTGTTCATAATGCCTTACAGAAAAAGATCTTACCACCAGTTCCACCGTTTTGTCCTCCATCTCCTGCTCCATGTTGACGATCCCCCCCGAAACTCGCTATGAAAATGGAAACCCAGCCCTGCGTCGGCGGCCCGCAAATTCAGAGACGTCATCCACTTCGCTCAGCCACACAGCTTTGGTAGGGCAGTGTCAAAAAGGTGGGTGGGGGATGGTAACGCCCATGGACTTTAATAACACGCCGATTGGATAGATTTTGGCTAAGTAGGCGTGGTTTCGCCTCTTTGCCTTTTATTGATTGGCCTGCCGTGCTACCAAGGCTTCCCCGGTGACTCCCCCAAACAAAAAGGCAAACTGATGAAGATGCTGTTGCTATCCTGAAGAGGAATACACCAAGGCAAAATCAATCATCCGCATAGCTTTTCTCTGGGATGCTGCAGGATGTTGGCTATTTTAAATATGTGGCATGACAGAAACAGATACTTTATGACTCTTAATTTAAAGTTCTCAAATACACACTTTAGCAAACTCAGGATTATGCATGGGTAAAACAAATTCAACGAAGTAGTGACAGATAATCAAAACTGGTAACAAGAACCACTAACAACCATTATAACAACCAGAAACCAGTTCAATAGATGATGAATTAACATTGCAGCTTAAAACCTGAAACTCCATCAATACAGACGCAGGAAAGCCTGGTCCAGATTTTTTGTTTCGTCTTTTAAGCCGAGCAATCCAGACAAGGCAATAAACCAGGATCTTTAGGATAACTTCACTTTAGCTGAACTGTTGTTGCTTTCCTGCCAAGTATATGGGTTTGAATTACTCACATCCCCAACCCTCCGGTCTATTACGCCATCATTGGTTTAATACCATAATAAGCAGGTCAGTTTGTTTGCCTTCTCAGCAACTGGAGCCAGAAAACTCATCATTCACCAGTGTAGGTTTACTTCCTCAGCCTGCTATATTTATAATCTAAGGCATGATTTACCAAGGTCATTCTCTACAAATCTTAAGGGAACACGTCTTCACGAATTCTGCTCTTTGCATTATGAATGAGAACCTGGTCATTTGCGCTTACCTTTGCTCCCCTATTTGACACGCAAATGTCAAAATCAACTTTCTAGACCAACACATCCTATAAAAACTATCGGCAGGAATGCAATGACAAATTGAGATTTTTAATTAATTTAGATTTATAAAAGTGGTCAGATAAATGTACAAATGCAATCCAATGTGTACACGGGATATTTCATTTAAGGGAAGTTCATTTAAAGAGATGACTGCATGTAAAGGCCAAGATTTATAATGAATAGCTGTATTAAAGATGTGATTTTACTGCCTTTTGAAATTTAAAATGTAGAAAATTTCAACATTATGTGGCAAGTCTGACGATTGAATAAGATGACTAAACTGTCTAAAAGTCATGCACGCGTCACTCACAAAACATATCAATTTTGTTGTCAGGAAAAGGTCAGCCTTTTAAGTAAATGAGATGGCACAGGAGTGAGACCACAGCAGATGAGGAGGTAGCAATGGTTTTCAGCAGTTGAAATTTAATACTTTGTCCCCCTTTCTCTACAGAAACCCAGGTAAAAAAAATCCCCCACTCTCATAAAATACAACAGCAGCAGTTACCAGTAAAAAAATGAAATGCAAAAAAGAAAAAAAAAAAGAGAGAGAGAGAAAGCATAGAAGGAAGGGAGAGAGGATAGGGACATGACGATGCATTAAAGGAAAATATATTTTCTGTATGTCAGGAGTGAATCCAAAGTTCATCTTAGGACCGGGGACAGCGGCAACGAGGAATCTGGGAACTTGCTGTTGTGTTCATTCAAAATCGAGGGGAGGAAGAAAAAAAAAAAAAAAAAAAAATGAGTCAAGTCCAATCCAACTAGGGGAAGGAACCAGCACTCTAAGGCAGGGATTTATTCAGGAAGGGCTTTCTCCCTCTCTGGATGAAAGAAAATCTCACTCCTCTTCGGCCTGTGTGATGCATTTTGTTGTGTAAGTATGTGCAAGTTTGTGTATGCAACAGGTGAACTGGAAGGTGTGTCTGTCAGATATATAGGTCAACACAGTTGCACCTCTCGCTTGCTGCAAGAGAGGTGGCATTTTCATTTCCTTATTTCTTCATTCATTTTTTTCTCCCAATATCAGTCCAAGACTACCTAGTAGTCATCCAAATCAAAGAACTCATCGTCCTCTCCTTGGTACTCCATGCCCTGGAAATCCACCCTGTACCGCAAGATACCTGAGGAATACAAAAGATGAGAGATTAAGTAGTGTGATATGATGGCAACTTGTTTTGGCTAAACAGTGGCAGCGGAAAACATGAATTCTGAAAGTATTAGACTTTAGTATTAGAAGTGCCAAGGGGGTCATTTTAGGGTTAACAAACAAACAAAACTCGAAAGACAAAAAGATTTCATGACTTTAACTAAAAATGGATTCACTCATCATTTAGGAGTGTGTGGAATAAAAAGATATACTTACCACATGTCACTTTGACCCCACAGAAATTAATGTAAAATCCACTCACCCTGCCCGGTTGCCTAGCAACATGTATCATTTACACTCATTTTGATATGAAGACTGCATAAGCCAGAGCTGGCTAGATAACATTGATAAATATACAGGGGACTGTAGTTGGATAGAAGACGAGGAATGTCTGCCAGGCTGAACAGGTCATGGATGGGATATGGAGCCGGAGAAGTGTGGAATGTGGAGAACCAGGCGGGTTGCTGAACTGAGCAGAGAACCCTGAGTGTGGCGATCTACTCAGGCCTAATAAAAAGCAAAGTCCAAAGCAGAATACCTAAAATGAACGAGTCCAAGGCCTGCTGAGCTACAAACTGAGGTGGAACAGTGTGGATGATGGATAAGACAGGTGTAGGTGCATTGCGATAAAACTTCACAATAATTAATGAAATTGTGTTTGTTTTATTTCAGCCAACTGTGACGTCAGTCAAATTCAAATAGTTTCACAATAGTGCTCTTTTCCTAATAAATGCTTTTGTTTTAGCATAACGACCATAACCTGTTACGCAAAATTCCTTCAACTTGTCCATAACAGTTTTCTTCTATAATAATTCAATTATTTAGATGTGTTGGGTATTATATTTTTTGTACCATTTGTTTATTACTGAATTCTAAAATATATTTTGTTTATTACCTATAATTAAATAACCTAAATCATTTGCGTAACTAATAAAACCCCAAATAGTTAAATGCTTCCTTTGTCTAAAATTACTTCTAATTTAAAATTTTAGGTCAAAATTAACAATTTAACTACTGCTTCTTCAACAGTGCTTTTAGGGGTCCTGGAATGATGGTGTTTCTATTGTGAAAAGCACGAAGTCCTGAAATCCTTTTAAGATCCTCATTAAAATGTATTACACCACTAAACCAATTTAAATTGCCACAAGTATCTCTACTTTTTATACAACTAACAATTCAACAGTGCCTCTTCCCCAATTCTCCTATTTTACATGGTGAAGCCCTCTATAATACAAATTTCTACTGTACAACAATGTCTATATGAGGCCTTTCCTGTACCAAGATGAAGCATGAATCAGAATAAGCAGAAGAGGAACTGTTTATCTTCTCTCCTGCTACTATCTTCAAGTTCATAATACATGAATTATACTCGAGTACAATTACTAGATCATCATAACAACCCAATGACGAAATCATCACTGAACCACATATATCAAATATATTCCTAACTTCATTTTGATCAAACATTCAACTGTTATTAAACAACAGTGTGCTCACCCCCAATGCCTCCAAAGCCCTTGACAAACTGGGACCCCTCCTGACTCTTGTCTGTTACTATCTCCAACGTGGCTCCAAATTTCTTGTAGTTGTTCGCAAACCACTCCAGTAGTGGCATGCTCTCGATCAGCTCATGTTCCTGCCCCGTCTAGAAACGCAACCAGCGTTAGTAAGGTATAACATCACAGGCAATGGGTCCAACTTAACTCCCAGAGATCAGTTCCTCTTCTGCAGCACTTACCTCCTTGTCCGTGAAGTGAGATTTGTCTTTCTCCTGCTCTGGCGTTAGGTACAAAGTCTTCTCATCTGAAGAACAAAGAAGAAACTTTTGAATTGTAGGATCACAATTAGAATTCATTTACTGCTTTTTGTCTCAGCTATTGCAGATAACACTGTAGTCGTTTGTTTACCATTCTCTGCTCCATTGCTCTCTGCCCCATGCACACGAAGAACATAACGCATGGTGTCTAAGTTCTCATAGACTATGAGAATCTCCACAGCTCCCATTTCAAGGGCTTTCAGTGTGTCCTCTACACCAAAGCAGTATTTCCCTGTATCCTGACTGATCTCATCAAAGTACCGCCCTGTAAATACAGAAGAATCATCAGGAAAAAGTTTGAAGATTTTACATTTAACAAAAAAAAGAAAACCACACACACACACACTCACCTATGAGCTTCTTTTCTTGGATGAACTTCACATTCGACAGGACCTCTGCTGAAAGCTCAATAGCCTGGTTGAAACCATTCTCTCCTCCATAGGAGATGTCCACTAGCTTCAGAACCTTTGCCTGTAACCTCTGTAGAAATCAAAGAGTTGTTAGTAACGTTTACAGACAAAGTAGGAACCAAACAAAGTTGCTGACAAGATAAAGAAAATAGAGAAAGCTACCACAATAAATATGCTGACAATAATGATAGACTACGCTGCTGGTTATATTCCCCAAAGCCTTGGAAAATCCCTCAAACTCATTAACTGCTAACCAAAGCTTGCAGTGAAGTGTGGGATATGCAGATTTTCATATCTGTCTCTTTCTTTGTTTGTGCAACCACATTCCATTATTGGTTGTAAAGACATAAGATTTAGCTATATCAGTGGCTTACTGGCAAATTAAATAAGGCACTTTCCATTTACAGTATGGCTGCACACATCATGTGCCAAGTTTAAAATAAACTTGCTATGTCACTATTTCATCACTACTACCAAATACCAGTGTTTATTTCTTACAATAGTAGATAGTTATTAAATATACCCATTTATACAACTCAGAGAAAACACTTAAAAGATCACCAGCCTTCTTTTGGACATCTATTCACTGCAGTGAGAAATTTGTGGGGGAAAAAAAGTTGTTTCATTACATCATACTTACTGGATCAAACATGTCAGACTGGCTGAGTTCAGTCTTGAAATCAGCAGAGCCAGCCAAGACCATTCCTGCCACATTAACTTTGTCATTGGACACAAAGAGCTGGACAGCTGTCTCAGCTACTTTTCTCACATAGTTGTGTCTCTTCTCCATTCTCAGTCGAGCAAAACGCAGAGCAGACTGTCCTCCTCTGCCTGAAAGAGCAAAGCAAAGATAAAAAAAAAACAACAACAAATAAACAAAAACAAAACAAACAACGTAAAATGTATTTTCTAAACATTCCAGTTCAGTACCGTGCTTCTTGGGTAGGTCCACAGTGAACTTGTGCAGCACCTCCCTGGTGTTGCCCTGCAGTGTGCCAAAGAGTGCCCCACTACCGTCGATCACAATAAAGCCAAACTTACTGTCATCAGACAGCAGGGCTGTCAATGCCTGTGTTGGGACATTAGTGAGGGAAGAACGGATCATAAGAATGTGGAAGACAGAAAGAATAATAAAAAGACCAAGGCGAGGTTTACATACCACAGAGTTTCTCTAAAAAAATATTTTGCATGTGCATCAAAATACTAAGGAAATTCTCTCACCTCGGTGTGGAACTTGTTGTCACAGAGGTACAGGGAGGTGTTGATTGGTTTAAAAGGCTCAAAGTCAATATTGACTTTCTTCTCCTTGCCTTCCTCTGTCACAATTGTGCCACAATACACAACCAAGCCATTGGGTGGCACTGGGAAGGGAAGAAAAAAGCCAGAGACCATAAATATTCAAAGGAGGACTAGAGCTGAATGTTTTGAAAGTAAATACATCCTATGTTTTAAGTTGTCTCTTTTTTCAAAAACCCCCTTGGAACAATTATAGCTAAAAATATTACAATAATACAATGATATGCCAATATGAATTTCTTTTGTTGCCCCCAAGAACCACTACCATTTCCCAAAAGAAAATAGGCATTCTTTTACATGCATACCCTTGTTGTAGAGTTTTAGTCTTTGCTGTACAGAGGTGATGGCCCCGAGAACAGAGAGCCTGTTGACGCGACTCTTAATGTTGGAAGCAGTGCCAAACTCATCAGC